ATGTGCACCATAGTCCGGTTGACTACCTCCGTTTGTCCGTCTGTTTATGGATGAAAGGCCGTGCTCTTCTTCAATTTAGTGTCCATCAAACTCCACAAAGAATCCCAAAAATGCCCGAGAAAACGGCTATCCCGATCCGAAATAATCGAACTCGGCAATCTAAAGTGCTTCCACACATGCTCAAAGAATAATTGTGCTGCACCCGCTCCCGTCACGGTCTTCTTACAAGGAATCAATATCATCATCTTACTGAACCGGTCCACCACAACATACAAATAGTCATGCACGCGCTTCGTAGTCGGCAACCCTCCTAGAAAATCCATAGAAATGCTCTCCCATGGCCTAGAAGGAACCGGTAATGGTAGGTACAATCCCCTCTTCCTGTTAGAAGGCTTCAAAATACAGCATAACTTACACCCTCCAACATACTTGGTCACGTCATCAAGCATCCGTGGCCAAAACACATGTCGCCGTAGATTGAGAAGCGTTTTCTGAATGCCAAATGGCCTTGCACACGCGAGGTATGTGCTTACCGAATCCACTGTAACCTATCACCATCCTCTGGAATGCATAGTGATGTCCCACGATACAACAAGCCATCTTCTCCAAGTGCATACTCCCCCCTTCGACCAGCCTTCGCCTGCTCAAACACACTACCAAAGTCTCTACTGGATGCGTACAGCTGTACATACTCCAAAGGAACCAATGGCTGAATACGCGTCGCCACCAATAAAGACCTTATCGGCGGACGAGATAACATATCGGCCAACTTGTTTGTCGCCCCCTTATTGTACCTAATAATGATGTTGAAAGCCATCAAATAAGACATACACTTCATGTGCCGTGCCTACTGTAGCTTCGTCTGGGCATGTAAGAACTCCAACGGCTTGTGATCCGAATGCACGACCACCTCCTTCCCTAACAAGTACACCCTCCAATGCTTAATTGCTTGATATAGTGCATAGAACTCCTTGTCGTAGGTTGGGTAGTTCGCAACAGCACCCGAAAACTTCTCAGAATAGTATTCCACCGGTTTTTCATCCTGAATCAACACCGCGCCCATCGCATAATTAGACGCGTCGGTCTCTACCTCGAAAGTCCGCTGCAAATTCGGCAACGCCAACACTGGTGCCTCCGAGATCTTCCTTTTTAGCAACTGAAAAGCCTCCTCATGCGTCCTTCCCCACTCAAACTGAACTTTAGCCTTTGTGAGGCTATGTAACGGTGCCGCATAAGCCGAAAAATGTCGAATGAACTTGCGCAAATACTGGCAAGCCCCCATGAAGCTCCTCACCTCAGTCACTGTCTTCGGCGTCAGCCATTTCGTGATCACCCCCACCTTGCCTGGATCTATCCTCCGCTGTCCCTTCCCTACGATGAAGCCGAGATACACCAACTCGTCCTTCCCGAACTCATACTTCTTCCCGTTGAGCTTTAGCTCTCCGTCCTGCAACACTTCAAATACCCTCTCAACATGAACGAGATGCTCCTCCCAAGTCCTGCTGTACACCAAGATATCATCAAGGTAAACTATCACAAAATCCTCTATAAAAGGTCGCAACAAATCATTCATAAGCCTCATAAAGGTAGCCGGAGCGTTGCACAATCCAAACGGCATCACCAACCACTCGAACAGGCCCTGCTTGGTCTTGAACGCAGTCTTCCAAGTGTCTTCCTCCTGAATCCTCACCTGATGGTAACCAGACTTCAAATCCAACTTCGTGAAAAACCTCGCTCCCTCCAACTAGTCTATAAGATCATCGATCCGCGGTAATGGGTAGCGATTCTTGATGGTTATCTTGTTGAGCGCCCGGTAATCTACGTACATGCGCCAGCCTCTATTCTTTTTGGGCGCCAACAACACTGGTGACCCGCAAGGCGAATAACTCGGCACAATCACTCCCGTCTCCAAGAGCTCCTGAACCTGCTTCTTGATCTCCTCGGACTCCTATACTGATGTGCGGTATAGACCTGTGTTAGGTAAGGAACTCTCCACGGTCAACATAATCTCATGCTCTACACCTCGACGTGGTAGTAGTCCCGTGATCTCCGAAAACAAGTCCGCATACTTGGCCTTTAACCTGTCAAGATCTCCCTCCTGAAGCTTGCTCAAGGTGGACAAGCACATCCTACTCAGCTGCTCTTCATACGGCCGAATGAACAATAAAACGAACTTCCTGTCCACATTCACCAACCTCTTAGCCTGAGTCACCGTCACCAAGCTCGTCTCCTGTGGAAGAGATGCCGAACGAAAAATGAATTGCTCGCCATCCTTGGTGAACGTATACTTTTGGGCTCGCCGATCATATACTATGTATCTATCCCACAAATAAGGATTGCCCAAAATAACTTGGCAAACATCCAACGGAACCACGTCGCATGTGACCTCGTCAATATACGACTCGTGGAGTGCAAATCTGAATGAACACTGGTTCACTACACTCAATCCCGCCTCCTTCTGAAAGCAACGATCAGCCACGTGCCCTGTCTGTTTGCAGTGATTGCATGTCAATCCTGCTTTCCCCGAGTCACCCTTCTTCTTCTCATCCTTAGACTGAGAGCCACCCGTCTTGCTCCCCGATGGTTTGGAATCCCCCTTTGTCTCGTTGCCCTTCTTCTGCCTACCCTCAATGGCTATAGCCTTCACGCTCGCCTCTGCGATTGTCTCAACCGAAAATAGCTTCATCTCCTTCCGGATGTAATCATTCAGACCCGCCATGTACTTCATGAAGATGGGGTACTCGTCTGTTGCGATGTTTAGAACCATCGCCTGCTGCTGGAACTTCGTCGTGTACTATTGAACGGTTTGATTAAACTTTTGGCGCAAGCCATACCACTTGTACCAACGCTCCTCAAGGAACCCCACTGGATAGAACTGTTTCCGAAGTAGCTCCTTGAACTTGTTCCACGACGCCGCTTTCTTCTCCTGTTTGCAATAAGATTTCCTTTAATGTCGCGAATACTATCTTCTCTTTGGATGAATATCCGTAGAGAGTGAAGTACATCTCCATACGTTCGATCCAATCATCAAGCTTCTCCACATTGATACTCCCATCATAAACAGGAATCTCAACCTTGAAGTCAATCTTCAGATTCTGGTAATTATTCTTACCTCATTGATGTCCAACAGTCTTGACAATCTCAGTCTCCCCCTCTGAATTAGATTCCTCGCTCTCTTCGTCGGATTCGACGAGTTTCTTCTTACCCTTCGAAGAAGATTCCTCCTTTTTGTCTCCTTCATTAATGAGACCCACGAGTTGAGTAAGAGTCGTCCCGATCGTCTCAATCTGCTTCTCCATGGCATCAAGTCTTGTTGAATTATCTGCTTCAGTCATCTTCTCCTTCTTTAATTTCTGGACTCCCTCTAAGGAAATAAGGATCTCGCCAAGCTTCTTGTACTGTGAGCGAGTAAGGACCATACACAGGTTCCCCCTTCATAGGATCTAGGTGCTCTGATACCAACTTGGTACGAGTTGCCGTGCGAGAACTCTTGATCGCGGAATTATCAAGAGTGGGTAGAGAAGAAAACGACAGAAAAACACAAGAGTTATAATTAGGGCGAAGGAAAATACATTCTCTAGATTATGAGAATCAATTGGATTTACAAAATCTCTCTCTCACAATCTCTCTAGATCAAAGAACAACCTCCCAGATCTCTTTTCTGATTACAATCTCAGTCATAAACCCTAGAAAAGTCGTGTTTCTATTTATACTAAACAGAAATCCTAAACGGTGCAGGAAACAGGCCCAGGCCCATAACCGCTACGCGGTCGACCGCTGTGACCACGTCGGTCGACCGGCCAGAACGTCGATTTATGGAAAAATCGCTTATAGGGTTTCCGGTCGACCGCAACACCTACAGCAATCGACCGCTCTCAGTCCAGAGACACAGTCTGGGTCTGTGCACTACGCGGTCGACCGCTGTGACCAAGTCGGTCGACCGGCCAGAGCCCAGCTGTAATTCCTGCAGTTTGACGAATCCGTCAACTTCGCCACCTCCAATGACCTCGTCCACGACTCATCTACTCTATTCTCAAGATACCATGATAATCATCTATCCTCAAGCTCCCATGAGGATCGCTAAGCTCCCGAAGAGAAGATACACCCGTATCATGAAATTTGACATTTTGACTAAACCATGTTTTCAAATTTTATAAAATGATTATATAGAATTAATAAAAGATGTATATAGTGATTATTAAGTCCATAAATCAATAACTCAATATTTTCACAAAAATACATGTTTTGTAAACATTCAAAGCAATAAACATGATTTTATTGAACTAAATAAACTTGATATTGATGAAATCAATATAAGCATATAAACATGAAACAAATATGTATTTTCCAATCATATTCATTTGTTTCATATTTAAATTTGAAAACTATAAAACCAAAACATGTAAATATATATAACTATATATATATATATAAAAACAAAAACGCGTATATGTGTAGTTTGAGCTTTAAAGTATTAACACACATAATATAAACCTAAACTAATGTACCCCAAGCTTGATGATCTTCAATAAGCTTGTCTTGATTTGCTTTGCGGATGAAGCTTGAACTTGAATAGTTGACTTGAATGCATTGACTTCACTCTTATTCCTTCTATCCTCCAATGGATATGATCGTGAAAGCTCGATTCCATCCAACCTCCAACTCATTGTTTGTCTAGAATACCTAATAAAAAACACAAACACTAGACAAACAATATTAGGGATTGTCTATAAATCATCATCAAAACAAAAAGGCCAACACAAACTGTAAGAATTATATCACTAGTACAAAACAGCACAGCCCAAACGGTTATTACAACCGTTTGGACAAGTCAAAATAACCCAAACGGTTAAAACCGTTTGGGCTAATAAACCCAAACAGTTAAAACTGTTTGGGCTAATAAAAAATCCCAAACGGAAGTCCCAAACGGTTTAAAACGTTTGGGATATTTTAGCCCGAACGGTTAGAACGGTTTGGGAGGGAGTTTATTTTGGCTTTTTTAAAAAAATTAAAAGTCTTTTTCCTCCGTTCTCCCCAATAATTTCATGACAGCGTCAAAAAATTCAATCGAGCGCCAAAAATTTCATCCCAGCGCCAATTTCATCCCAGTGCCAAAAATTTCACCCCCAAAAAATTCATCACCGTACCCTCTCAAATCCCTAACCCCCTCCACCTCCCTCATCTACCCCGTCGAAGTCCGACCATAGCCGCCGGCCAACGCACATTCATTATTTTATTTAAGGGAAATTACCTTAGTGTGTGGTATATTATTAAATGTGTAATCCACATACAAGCGATGTTCTGATTTCGTTTGATTTTCTCAGGTTTGAGCGCATAGGCCAGAGCACGCATCGCCAATGCTCTTGAGGTCAGAAGTCAAAATTAGGGTTTTTTTCTTACTTGGTTGGGATTTTGATGATCATCTTTGTTTCAATTTTCTTTTTTCTTTTTTTGTTTTTCTAGGACGACCTTTTGAAATTGGCGAGAAAACGTTTGGGTGTGTTGCTGGAGACCCTTGCACCTGAATTAGGAAGCACGTTGAAGTGCTGAGGGAGGCTCAGGTTTGATTTCGATTGGATTTATGTTCCTTTCTTGGTATTGTAGTCGTGATTCCTGAGTAGGATTTAAGTTCTTGGTTCTTGTTAGGGTTTTGAAATTTCGGGGTTAGCATTGGATATATTCCATAAAAAATGACAATTTGGGTCTTCAAATTGGTTTCAATCATGCAATTGATGCTGGAATTTACACAAGAATATGTAAAGCAAATCCCTTTTAGCATTTGAAGATTCCTAAGTTATATGATGACAGTGGAAGCTGTAATGTAAAGTCATTTATTGATTCTTGATCCTTTTTTTTGGTAGCTTAAGAACCATTACATGAAATAGATCATTCTGCTTTGATTCTATATAATGTTTCCTCAGATACAGGACTAATTGGCCACTAGGTTCACTAAGAATTGTGTTATTTGTTGTATTATTCAAATTGGTTATAATTATGCAATTGTTGTTGGAATTTACACTTTGCTAGTCAAGAAGATGTGGTCAGCACTTCCTCTTCTACTTGGCTTACTCAAGAAGATGTTATCAATATTTTGATGTGACCTCTTTAGCATTTGAAGGTTCCTAAGTTACAAGGTCGATTTTGTATTTTAACATCCTCTTGTATTTTAATGCTATTTCTATCTGATGCTTCCTTCTCTTCATTAAAGTGTTTTGAATAGATGTTTCTTCCACTTATTTCTTATTAACAATGGCATCCTAGGGAACCTAGTTTTAATGTGCTTTAATTCCTGTGATGTTTGCTAATGTTCCAGAGCGCACATGATGAGCTTCAAGCTTTTTTTTGAGGAAACAGTCGAACTTGAAGCTAAATACCAGAAGCTTTATGAACGTTTGTACAAGAAGGTAATCCATCATTAGCAGCTCGAACTTGAAGCTAAATACCAGAAGCTTTATGAACGTTTGTACAAGAAGGTAATCCATCATTAGCAGCTATTGTTATATAGCAAGTTCATTGATGCTAACTATGAAACCTTGAGACTTCTAGGCTTTTTTCTGAGTTCAGCCTGGGTACTATGCTAGCATCTAAGTATCGTTTCATATTAATTTTTCAATGTTATGAAATTGTCAACGGTCTACTCGAAGTCGAAGGTGTTACTGTCGTAGCTCCAGAGGAACCCCTGTCTAAAGCTAAAGCTCCTGAAAGTTTGTAAAAGATCTGAAGATTAAAAAATGTTTGCATGTAGTTTATGTGGATACGACGCTGATGCTATTTTCTTTCTGTAGCTAATGGTGTACCAATTTCTGGCTCACCGCAATGAAGTCACATGAAGTTTTGGCTAAAACGGTATCCAAGAGGCGTCGTTTTTGTCCTTTATCGTTCAGTTTACTTATTCACAGTAACATGATACGTTCTTCTCTCATGAGTTCAGATCTAGGAGCATGATGAAGGAGCTCTAAAGTACCTCAAGAATATTAAATCATGTATAATTGATAACCCTAAGGGTTTCAAACTAGAGTTTTTCTTTGACACTAATCCATATTTTAAGAAGTCTGTCCTCACAAAAGCGTATCACATCATCAATGATGATGATAATCCTATATTGTGCAATTGGGTAGCTCTTTTTGGTCTAGTCAGTGATCACCCTATTCTTCCCCCATTTTATTCGATCGTGTTTACTAACTCAGCTCTTGGGTTGTTTTTAGGACAGAGATTGAATGGTTTCTTGGTAAGAACTTGACTCAAAAGATCTCAAAGAAAAATGCAGAGGGGTCAGAGAATGCCCAACCTATTACTAACATTGAAGACTATGGGAGCTTCTTCGACTTCTTTAATCTCCCTGACGTTCCTAAGGATGATTATGGCATCATGAATTACAAGGAAGATACAGAGGCTTTACTTATGTCATGACAGGGGAAGCTTTAGTAATGACCCTTTTTTTTGCCATTTACTTTGGCATGCTGGACAGCTGCTGAAGGAGACGGAGCAGAATTATGATATAGGGTGAGCTCTTCTAATTGTTTCTTGGAAGTAACCAGAGCAACGCTAGTTAGATAAGTCTACAATTTTCCTTTCATATTATTATGTTATACTGAGGGTAGTGTTCTCATCCCAGGACTACTATCCGTGACAAGATTATCCCAAATGCTGATTTCATGGTTCACTAGAGAGGCTGTTGAAGAAGATAGTGTTGTAGAATTAGGAGAGAATAATTAACGAGGATGACGAAGACGAAGAAGAGAACGTGAATTTTAGAGTGTATAGATGTTTCAATTTCTTCTAGTATACACAGGTTGGCTGAGAAATGTTATACAGATGTCATTGGTTTTGAACATGTTTACACATTTGTTTCTTTTCCCCCTCGTACGTGAAATTGTACATGTCTAATGGAAAATCAAAATTTTCTATGTGATACATTACTTGGTATTCAGAGAAAGAAAAAAATGAATATTCATTGACAGCATTCCTATAGCATCTGTATCCTGATGACTCTTGAAAAATTGCTCTGCTTGTGTTATATAAATGTTTTTGTAGCTAAATTCTTGCTGCAGAATGTAATAAAGTATAAATGTGCAGTGTGTTCTTTTGTGATGTTCTTCTGCCTATATTGTATAAATGATTTAATAAACTATTTTTCAATTTATTAAATCCCAAACGGTTGTAACCGTTTGGGCAAAATTCCAAACGGTTACAACCGTTTGGGCAAAATCCCAAACGGTTACAACCGTTTGGGATTTTGCCCAAACGGTTGTAACCGTTTGGGCGACCGTTGGGGTAGACTTTTCCCCAACGGCTTTAGCCCAAACGGTTCTTTTTTTAGCCCAAACGGTTGTAACCGTTTGGGACTGTATTTTCCCAAACGGTTCCAACCGTTTGGGCTGTCCTGTTTTGTACTAGTGTATGATGAAGGAATGCAACCAATATATCACATAAGAAGCACTAGTTAATCATAAAGTACTTAATTCTTTAACGTCAAAAGAAGGCTTACTTTTTAATTAAAAAAATCATCTTTTATATAATTTGGGATGGTTGAAAACAATTTATCCTTATGAAGCTTTTATCTTCTTACATCCTTATGTGGTCCCTCTCCCACTCTGGGTTCATCCACAAAGATGACTAGATTATGCAACCATCTTTAGTAATTAACTGTAATCTAACTACAACTGTTAAATTTAACAATTTCAAGCTGGTTCAATTGTACTTCAATATCATGAGAAAAAGAAAAACCTTTTCATAGAAATAGTTTCGAACATGTGCAGTCCGCTTAGAGTTTTCAATATACTATGTTACAGATTTTAAAACTGGACTTTTAAGTAGGTAAAATATTTTCTCAAGTTAAACAGTAGAAAATCATATTGCTAGACATGCAAAATTACAAATTCTAAGTATCAATATGCATAACAAAATTCAAAAGAATGTATATGAAAGATCATGGCGTCAAGCAGAAAACATCAGCACGGAATAATTATGATATGCAACACAGCTTTGGGATATTCAAATGAAAGGATGCAAAGTTGTAGATCTTTTTGTTATATGTTTGATGCAACCGTGCAAAAATAATAAGAGTGATAAATTTTTTAAAAGTGATGATAAAAATAATAAGAGTGATAAATTACATATCTCGTACCTATATGGGAACTATCCCTGCGCCCTTATTACTTTTATCAAAAGATCGAAGAAGATACAACTAGATAAAGGGTGCATGCAAAACTGTACAGTTCTAAAGGCAAATTCATCTGACTAATTGACTCATCGTAAGCCTCTGTCCAATAGTTAGGAGATGTTCAAAGAAATAACCGTAAACTATAATGTGAGATAGTTGGTGGAAGGTGAACATGTAATTATGTAAGTTGTTGAATATTCACAATGTTGAAGAGTCCGGATGGAAAAGAAATCTTTGCAGACATGGAAAGGGAGGGGAAAAAATACTTGGCAGACGAAAGGATGATTGGATGCATATTGAATATATACCTAGGGATGTGTTTGTGCAATTGAGTTTTTTGTGTAAGCAAACCAGGGTATATGATTTTCCTTTCCCTTCAGCTAAAATCTTCTTTGAAACTCAAAAAAGGATATCGATTCCCCTGCGTACTGTAATTAAGGTTTATCTAGAAGATGCCTTCTTCTTTTTGGGGTAATTTGTTGGTAAAGAACCATGTGATTTTCCTTTGAAATTGAAATTAAGAAAACCCAAGTCTTTCCAATACAGTTTTAAATTTTTGAAGATTCAAACGTGCCAACATATTTAGGCCCCTATGCCTGAAAATACTGTAAATAGCTCAAAATTTCAAAATGCAGAAAGGAAAAAACTAAGCAGCAGAAGCAAGAAGATAGAAGCAGTAACCTCAAATCTGATGCGGACAGTCAATCATCTTTTCACACGCCTAAATAGCCGAAGATAGTCATTTTAGTGTTTGTACCAGATCTCAAATGGAGCACTACTGAGCAGAAGATCTCAAATCAAATAATACTCTCGAGGTTCAACTCTCGGATAGAATATGACAGTTAAACACCTCATAGATTATCTGACAATCTTCTCCATGAGAACTTTTCTCATATCAGCACCACGAATACAGAAGTTGTTTAAAACAACTCATGTCGTGTTAAATCATAAGGTGATCTGATTGTCGCCTATACTATGCCAATGCATTTGCATCATTATGTTAGCAAGAACTTTAAACAAACAACAATAAGGATGATAAGGCAGAGGAAGCACATGTCATAGTCTAGCAGTACTGTCGAGGTTTGACTCAGACAAAATATGACAGTTAAAACGCCTCATAGATTATCTGATCATCTTTTCCATAAGAATTTTTCTCATATTAGAACCTCCAATACCACATTTGCTTGAACAACTCATGTCATGTTGAATCATAAGGTGTTCTGATTGTATTTGCAGCATTACATTTGGCAAGGACTCAAAATAAACAGCTACATCTGAATCATAAGGTGTTCTATACTATGCCATTGTATTTGCAGCATTACATTTGGCAAGGACTCAAAATAAACAGCTACAGGGATGATAAGGCAAAGGGAGCCCATGCCATTAAAAAATTTGTTGATTTCAGCACCTTCAACCCCCACACTGGAAATTTGTTTCTCAATCTCCAAAATCTTTTCACATGTCTGTTAATTTGCAATTCCAAATTGAGAGTTGCTTCCACGATCAACAAAGTCTTTTGGTATGAGTCTAACTGCATTGGCTGCTGAAAACAATTCAGTAAGCAAGTGGCTTTTCCCTAACCTGCCAAGCCCCTCATAGAGGTCAGTCAACAATGTCTTATCCGGAGCCATCCATCTTTCTAACATTTCTCTCAACACCTCCAGTGATCCTTCATAATCCTTATTATGGTAGAAGCTCAATAGCAAGATTTTGAATGTATCATAATTAGGATGACAACCATTTTTCTTCATGGCCTTAAAAATCTGAAACGCCCTCTCAGAGTTTTGCCTCTTGCACTGTCCGCTTATGAGAGCGGAAAAGGTTGATGAATTTGGAGCAAGGTTTGCTTTGTCAAGCTCTTTCACCAAGAATGCAGCTTTTCTCGTCTTCCCTTCATTGCAAAGCCCCAAAATCAGAGCATTGTATGTAACAATATCGACTTCTACCCTATTCATTAACATATCCTCATAAATCCTTAAACCCATCTCACCATTGTTTATCTGAGCATACCCCCTGATCAATGAATTGTAAGTCACTGTATTCGGTTTCACCTCCACAGTCTTCATCTCATTGAAAACTTTATTAGCTTCATTCAATTTCCCTTCCTTGCAAAACCCATGGATCAAAGAATTGTAGGTTATCACATTTGGAATCAAACCCTTAGTATACATTTCATTCTTCAACTTCAGAGCAGCGCCAATAAGTCCATTCTTGCAATAAGCTGCAATTAAAGTATTGAATGAAGAATCCATAGGGCTAAATCCCATCATCTCCATCTTCTCAAAAACCTCCAAAGCCTTCTCCAATTTTCCCGAATTGCAAAATGCACACATTACCATATTCAATGTATACACATTCGGTGAAATCCGGCAGCGACCCATCTCCTTATAGAAAGCCAAAGCAATATCATTTCGACCCAAATCAAGCAATGAGCTAACGAAAGCATTGCAGGATCGAATCGTTGGAAGAAACCCATAGTCTCTCATTCTACAGAAAGTCTCAGTGGCCTTCCGAAACTTCTTTATATGCGCATACGTTTTAAAAAGCGAATCGAAAACATTAGGAGAAGAATCACAGAGGCGGTAGGAGTGCAAAATGGCATCAAAAAGTTCCGAGCTCGAATTTAGGGTTTGGGGGATCAGGATTTTTCTAAGGATTGACTCCGCGGACTTAAACCGTTTAAATTTGGTAAGGATGTGGAGTATGATAGAATGAGTATCAAGGGACTGAGAATTAGGGTTTTGAGAAACGGAGAAATTATAGAAATCGAGGGAGAGGACAGGGTCTTTTTGGATTTTGAGGAGGATGTGGTTTGATCTGAATGGGGTTAATTTGGGGGCAAGGGAATTGAGATTTGGCCATTCTGAATGGATTAAATGGCTGTGAGCGATCGTTATAAAGTCGTGATCTTGGCCACAAGGTTCAGGGATAGTCCTGTGAGGAATTGGAATTGAATTAGGGTTTCGTTTTGTGGGATCAAATGAAGTAGAGAATTGGCGAACGAGCGGCAGCTTCTTCATATAGAACTGGGGTAATTTCCGTAAAAATTAGGGTTTAATTTGTCATAGACTCATAGTACTTGAATTGAAGAATTAGGGCTTTGTTCCACAAAAAAGTGAGAGGAATAGTTTCTTTGAATTATGGAAAATGAAAGACAAAATGATCGGAACTTGCTGACCTCGATTTGGGGATTTTCTGTGTCTGTGGAAAAGTTCGTTTCTCTTTTGCAGCATTAAACCCTCGGTTGTAAGTGAAGGACTGAAGCGGCAGGTTTAAATCGGCATCGCAGAATTGAGGAGGCCGGTTTAAATTCGCATATTATTTGCTAATTTATAGAATTTTGTATTTGTACAAGTTTAAATATGAATTTTATTAAATCCCTCCCATTGTTTTTTGTAAGTTGAAAATATCCCTCATATAGTTTATTTCTATTCACTTTGCCTCCCTGTAATTTATTTTTCTTTACTTTATCGACTTTAAACTTAAAAGGAAAAATTGTGTATAGGCTCCAAAATAAGAAACCTCATGTGACCAAACCGCTTCCTTTCTCATCCATGCGCTTATGTCCCTTAATTGCAATTATAGTGTGAAAAATCTCTTTTTAGTTGTCGCCTCAGCAAAGAGAAAAAAAATATCATTCTTTTATCTCCACACTACCCTCGTTCTCAACCTCTTACATCGTCTTCTTTTTTCATGAACCCATGAATCATTTTTTCTTCCTCCTCCTCTTTCTTCCAGTATCTCTTGTCCCACTACCTCTCTCGTTGCATCCTTCCCTTTTTTTTTTCAACCATTATCTCTTTTTTCTTTATCATTATCTCTTTCTTCAATCATTATCCTTTCTCAACTTTTTTTTGTATTTTCGACGCCGCGGTCTCTTCTTTATCATTTCCCCTCCTTCTCTTAGAACTGTTGCCGCATCACTCAAAGACTATCTCATTTGGCTAAAATAATATTTTCTAAAGTCACGCTGAAGTTAACACTAAGCAACTATAGTTAACATCTTGAATAAATAGATATTATTTATGTGATTAGATGTTAATTTTAACATATAGATGTTAACCATATGATTTCATTGTTAAGTTTAATAAATAGATGATGGATGATAAGTTTAACACATATGTGTTAACTATACGAATTAGCTATTAAGATTAATAGATTTATGTTGACTATTTGAAAACTACTTTGTATAGTTAACTATTATTCTCTAAAATTATCATGTGACTTGGATCATGAAGAGATAAGTTAGAAATTTAACATTACTATGTGGAAGAAAGAGGAGACAAAGAAGAAGGGATAATGATGAGTTGAGATGGAGGAGAGAGGAGGGAGGAGAATGATGGGATGCCATGGCGGCAAAAGAAGAAGGATGGTGAAGATGGAACGAAGGATGAAGGAGAAGGAAGGAAGAGATGAAAGTGGAAGATGGAGGAGGAGGACAAAGATGAGATGAAGGAGAGAGGAGGAAGGAGGAGAAGGGAGGATATCACGCCTCGTATCTTGGAAAGCATCTGATAGGAATGCGACTAGGCTAGGCAGCCTTAAGATAAACACCACCCAAAAGTATATATTTAAGACTATACCGGGGGATTGGTACATACATCTTATTCACCATACATAGAATATTATCAAAAATCATTTAAAAAAATAGTCACAAGGAAACTAATATACAACAAATAGTAAGTGTACGACACAAATATACAGCAGAAGAAAAATACTCAACAAATATCAATGAGTCCCACAACTAATGAATAACATAAAAGATATCACGAGTTTGATGTTAATGCATTATCGCATACTACATAAAGAAACTAGGTTGCACGACCATTAAACTCTGACACAACAACTGTAATAGTTATGCACATCAGAGTCAATCACATAGTAGCAGAAATGAAAAATAACATAGATAATGAAAGTCTGGTAACCGAAAGTTAGACAAGCCGATCAACAGGAATTCCATCTATGAAAGGTCACTAGACTCTGTGCCCCTGAAAGCATGCATGCAAACTAGAACGATCAAAAAATCATCTAATAAGTGATAAAATGAAGGAGTGGTTTTGTGCACATGTAATGTGTATCATGAATGCATAAATGGTAGAAACATAACGTGGACTGTATAACAGTATCACTTTGCTTGCTTTCATGAAAAGTGAGTGCATCTTAAAAATCCAGAATAGGAAATAGATAAAGTAGATAACTAGATCATCACAACATAGATGTAACAACAAAAGTGCATCTAACTCCTGGAGTGTGATGCAAAGATAGTGTACATCTAACTATCTTTAAATTTTACTTAATGTTATTTAAGGAAAGCTCTCACAAGATAATATTTATTTAGTGTACCCGCCACAAACATTTCTTGGATTATTACTTTACTTAATTTATGTGCACAGAATCATCTGGCACTAGCACTCAAAACACAACCTCAACCTTAACATTATCTATCAGATGCCAATATCCCCCCTATTAGTTAACCCACATGAATATTTTTATTACTTGGTTATACATGATATGTTACACACAAGGCCTGAATAACTCAATATATAGAAAACATCTAATTATGTGGGTGCCCTAAGCTCATGGTCCAAGAACAACTAGTACTAGCATTTTGACAGTGGACTTTAGCTAACATCGAGTTGTTCTCATCGGGTCTCATGGCTTGCACGCACCAACGGGCCCACGACGTGATAAGTGGTATCAAAGCAGTTGTCAGCCGAAAGTATGAAGCTAAATGCTATAGGAGGCTAAGTACTACACCATGTGGATGCGATGGTAGCCACCTCTAGAGTATGTAGGAGCCATGTCTAGAGTCCATATCGCTTGGTAGTGATACCGAGATGTACCAATTGTCATGTCATGATGACGAGGATGTCGTCTATGTAAGGTGGGGTGATTGTGACACCCCCACTTTAGTCCCACATGGACTAGTGTGAAGAAATATTAGTGGCTTAAATAGAGAAGAACATGACCCAAGAACAACTAGTGCTAGAATTTTGACAGTAAAATTTAGCCATCATCGAGTTGTTCTCGGTGGGTCTCACAGCTTGCACGCGCCAACGGACCCAAGGGTCCAGGGCGTGACAGGGAAAAAATCTCCCCCTATCAAAATGCCACAGAGCATACATCAAATGAAATATTTAGGCAATTTTACACAAATATATGTCTTAATGCTCATCACACTATGTGAGCAAAATATATACTTATCACAAATCATGCTCAAGGTGATTCAAAAGAATAACTATATACCAAATGAAAAGATATTTCAAGAAAGCCAATCATATACCAAAAATCATAAATAATGAGAAAAAATCATAACAATCCATGAATTCAAGAAGGCCACATATCATAAACCATGAAACAATATTTCCAACTGAAATCAATTCATATACCAAATGAAAGGAAATATCAAATGAAAGTAAAGTTCATGAAAGAAAATCATAAAGAATATTTATGGAAGTCATGAAAGTCAAAAGAAAATCATGAGAATTTATGAGAATCCATAAACGAAAATCATGAAGGCCAAGAATCATAAAAACATCATTTTTGAAAAAAGGATAAATAAGTGATCAAACCCAATATGATTCAAGTGATTTTTATGCCAATTCACCTCTTATATGACAAAACAATTTCTTCACAAAGAGGTTAGGTAAGAATGTCCACTAATTTGAGATTTTGAATAATATAAATAAGGGACATATCTTACTTATCTACATGATCACACAAACAATGTTGAACATTATATGTTTCATCCACAAAGATCAAAGAAAAGTATGCTTTGGATAAACACATTCAGATCAATTGAATCATTTTCGACAAGAAAACTAGAAAGAAGTAATCATACCAATCTCTTGGAGATTGTTTCAACCCATATAAAGATTTTGCATCCAATAAACATGATTTGGAAGAAAACGATCAATAAATTCAGGGGGTTGCTCAAACATAAACCTCTTCATTTATAAAACCATTTAGAAAAGTATTTCTTAACATGTATTTGAAATAGTTTGAAATCTTTAAAAACTAGGAATTGCTAAAAAAACATAAGGATTTGACTCTATCCTTGCAACTAGTGCAAAGGATTTATAACAATTAATGCCCTTAAAGTCAAAACTAACAAAAATCATAATATGTAATGAAAACAAATGTATTTATTTTAAAACACAATTGATAGAAAGTTAAACGAGTATGAAACGGGTCGGGTTTTGAAGATAAAAATCGAATAAGTAGACGAAGGAAATCACACTGGTCAGTCGATTAATTTTTGTGGTCAGTCGATTGAGTGTCATATATCGGTCGACCGATGACAAAGATCAGTCGACTGATGACTTCTAGAATGCATATGCATTTAAAACATGAACTATGAATGAAAAACATAAAAACACCACTTGTATTATATTCAAATATGAATATATATATATATATATATATATATATATATATATATATATGTATATGCATAGAAATTAGATTGAATCAACAAAACCTAAAATCATGATGGTTTTTGAGAGAGGTTATAAATGAAAATTCTGATCCTCTCACCAGCAAAATACCCCCCATGGCCGCTTATTTCTCAACGTCAACCTCTCTCACGGATGCACGTGTTACATTCAGTGTTCCAAGTAGTAAACATGACAAAGGGATTTCTGGAATATTAGGACAGAAGTGTTACATGACACGGGAAGAGAATGACTACCAAGGGAAGCAGATTTTTTTAAAAAAAGCCAAGTTTAAACAAAACGCAACACATCTTAGCTATTCCTACTTTTCTCAAATGAAGGTATTATTTTATACTTTCCATGTTGTCACACAAAATTTTATGATTTGAACTTTCAACGTGTCTTGTATTTATAAACTGCAGAAAATAATCTACTGATGATTAGTAGTTTTGGATGTTTGCAAAGCTATGTTAGTCAGAGTAGAGTTAGGCAGTAAAACATCTCAGATAGATTCCTTTTCGGCAAGTATATAAGTAATAATTATTGCAGCACAAATTTGTGAATTCTTTTATTGTCTAAAGATGTTACCTTTCTTCTTACTATTCTTGTAAGCACACAAAAAATAAATGCATTTCAATAGACCTTTTTTTGAAAACAACGCAAAGTTCGCTTGTAGCCATATTTACCTATTAGCTTTGCTTACTCAAATTTTGTATAGGTTAAATTGCACATAACCCCTCATATCTAGAATTTCATTAACAGTTATTACCTTTCAACTATTTTCTGCAATTTATCCTTTTGATAATGAGAATTTAGGAATCGTAAGTCCAAGTGAAGGCCTAGATGAGGGGTTATCTGCAATTTAACCTTTCT